AAGGGACAATTTTCAAACTCATTTCTCTTGTCGAACAAAAATAGAGAAAGTAAAAAGGTCATCAGTACTTTGTTAAAAAAGAAAGAACAAAAATAGCTTTAAACAAAGTAGATAAGAAAATGGACGTATAATGTATATTGTTTATATTCGCCACGGATCGGCAAGTTAAAATTCTGTCCGCGGGCCGGATAAAACCTTCCGGCGGGCCACAGTTGGCCCGCGGGCCGTAGTTTCCCCATCCCTGCTCTAAACCATGATCCATTCACCACTGAGGATATCTTACGCCAGCACTGTGCAAGCCGGATGCGGAATTCGTATCTCAGACATCGCTGGGTTCGAACCCCATAACCTCATTATTTGAAGGCGAACACTATCTCTTGAGCAACGCGGCTGTACTTTAACTATTAACACTCAACATACTGCAGTACTGGCAATAGCACCATCTGTTGAGGAATAAGAGAAGTATTTTTGCCATCAGCGGATATTTAATCACCATTTTTTTTTTTAAATTTCTTCAACAAATAGGGAGAAATTTGAGAATATACGGGCAAACAGGAGACTTTGCAGGTATGACAGTCATTCAAATATGAAAAGAAAGAAACATACCTTTTTGAGATGTCCTGTAGATGTGCCGAGGAATGTGACAGTGTAGTCATGAGTGGAGGTGGCAGCAACAGCTGTCAGGAGAATGCCAGAAAAACGCAAGACAGGAGCTGCTTCCACGGGCATGCTACCACCAAGGGGCGTGTTTACATCCATACCACAGAACTCATCGTTTATTTGCAATTGCTGTGGGGAAAAATCATTTTTAGAAAAAATTCTTAATTGCAACAACAGAGTACATAACGAATACTAACAGAGTACAGTGAAACCTCTCGGGAGCGACCACTCTCCGTTTCACAGTAAAAATGGTCGTTAATGGAAGTGGGTCATTCAAAAAAGTTACCTACTATCAGTTTAGAAGATATTTGGGTCCCTTCACAAAATATCTTTTCATAAAAAAGGACCCTTCAACCCTTCACAAAATATTTTAACTTAAAAACGGATCCTTCACAAAATGATTTATCTTTTAATCGGACCCTTCACAAATTTGTGTATCTTCATTATTGTTTTGTTAATCGAATACAATAAACCCTTCACAGGAAGGGGAAAGAAAGACAAATGTAAACGAACTAAATTTTGTCTTCGGCAGACCCTTCTTCCATTATTCGTCCGAAATGAATATTTTGCGTTGAGCAGTATAGGCTAAATACCAAATATTTGTTATGTCGCATCTCTAATTTAGTAGCTACAATTGCTGTCAAATCGTCAAAATTTAAAAGAAAGAAAAATCGTTTCGCCAAAATGGTATTCGCTACTTTTTTGTAGTTTAGGGTAGTGTGTTACTTTTTAAAATGTTCCTGTGACTGAATAAACAAGAATTGTGCATTTAGAGTCAAGTATAACTATTATTTAAGCTACAAATAACAGATAATTTATCACTTAGGTAACACTTCCTCATGCAAACGTATAATGCATCAACAAAATAAATAAATAAATAAATAAATGACCACACTGAATAAATTTTGATCCGAATTATCGGATTTTCATGGTTCAAGACTTAATTCTTAATGGTTCGAGGGGACGAACTCAGATATCAGGGGTCTGTCCAGACATTTTGTGAAAGGTCCGTTTTTGATAAATTGTGAAAAAATGACTCGTAATTTGTGAATATAAAATAAACGTTAAGTCACATTCTTTCGACCAGGGTCCGCTTTTGTGAACTTGTGCAAATAGGGTCCGTTATTGTAAAACAACTTTTTCAAGAAGTTTTAAAATTGNGAAAAACGGACCTTTCACAAAATGTCTGGACAGACCCCTGATCAGTATTATAGAAGTGCATATTATTATAAAGTTTATTATTTAACCTATTTGGAAATAAAATATAAATGACACCACACCTACTTTCAATACCAATGAAATACTTGAACGCAAAAGACCCAACGGAAATAATAAATAAAATAAAAATATCAGAACAGGTATATCTTTTAAACCAAAGAATTCATGATTTAAGGCCTGAAATGGCATTTATTTGACAGAAGGGAGTAATTAACGCCAGGCACAGCTGATGAGGTTATCTTCACAAAGGGGAGGGGAGGTTGAAAAAAAACACTTTTTTTAGAAATATTTTTATCGGACAAAAGAATGATCTTTTGTTTAAAATGAGCAGGGAGAGGGGTAAAAGTGAAGGACAAAAGATTTTGTCAAGTTTTACAAAAAGAGTCCAGATTTTTCTCTTAACTGAAAAAAAAGAAGAAAAAAAAGATCGTTATTGGTTAAAGAAAAGGGAATTCTAAGCTTTAACGATTTATTAAGTGGGCGCTCTGTGCATAATGACTTTGGATGTTGACTTCCGTTCCAGAGAGGGATTTAAACAACATGTTTAATTAAAAAAAGAAGGCAATAGAAAATATTCGGTTGTAGAACTTTATTTAGCATTATTATCTATCCTAACATTTAAAGCCGGGATTGGCAAGTTTTTTTCTTCACAGCGGAAAAATAAAAAATAAACAAAAACACTTTGGAAGAAATAGGTTCTTCCAGCATAAGTGAAAGAATTTTTCTTTAAATGAAGAAATATCACACATTAAAGCAAATTTTCAAACAATTTGTCAGGATTTTTGAGAAATTAGAACTAGCTAGTCAAATAAATGCGAGATAATAATGAATAAATTAAGATAAAACGTAGATCTATCAAAAACGTCGCGAGTGAATTTAATTCAATTTTAATTTATTTTAGAACGGAACTAGACTGGCTTTTAATTAAAGAGGTAAATTGTTCTGGCCTCAATTTGAGGTCAAGATGACCTCGAATAGGCTAATTAATTAGTGCAGACGATATTTTTATTAATTTATGAATACATGACTTTTTTTATAATTCTGACAATCATCCAAAATTGTTTAGATTAACATTAAATAAAAAAATAAATAATTATCAAAATTTCTTATGTTATTAAAAGTTATAGAATTATATTCGAATAAACGAATTTCATAAAATACGAGCAAAATGCTTTCAATTCATTTCAGCAATTTTCGAGCTATAGTAAAATATGCAAAAAATTAAAATTAAGGGGACCAAAGATTGGACCTCTCTCCTGAAAAACTATTAGGACGAATCGAAAATAAAACATTTATTCTAAGAAATATTTTTTTTTTGTTGCCTGATTTCGTAATTAAATGTTTACTTTTTTTTCTATTTATTTATTTACTTATTTTTTTAACGTAACTTGTTTGATTTCATCAGCATTTGTTAGGTCTGACACCTGTGAACAGTCAAATTTGAGTCCTAGCACACGTAAATCCGATCATAAATCAAAAGTTATTCAGTGTTTTTAGTTTATTTGTTGGGGCAATGTACTTAAAAATGCGGTATAATAAATGAATATGCTTTTTAATTGGTTATTATGTTTTACAATTAATTACATTTCTAATTAATTCATTCAGTGAATCTGACCGCCCGACTGAGAGTGCTTGTAAATACAATCTAGTTTAGATATTAGTAGTAATGTAAAAATTATTTAATACATTAATTAGATGAAAATTAAAAAAAAAATTTCACGAATGACTAAAAATAACTGCTTTAATATTTTATTTAAATAAGTATAATAAAACTTAATTTTATAATAAAATATATTCCTTAAATATCATTATTAAATTGTATGAATACTGCTAAATAAGCAAAGCACTATTAGAAAAGTTATGTTCCAAAAACAAACTGTGAGTAGTATATGTTTCGCTGAAATAGGAGCATTCACAAAAAGTTTGGACAAACCAGGGTTGGCAGGGTTTTNAATGACTAAAAATAACTGCTTTAATATTTTATTTAAATAAGTATAATAAAACTTAATTTTATAATAAAATATATTCCTTAAATATCATTATTAAATTGTATAAATACTGCTAAATAAGCAAAGCACTATTAAAAACGTTATGTTCCAAAAACAAACTGTGAGTAGTATATGTTTCGCAGAAACAGGAAAAAGTTTGGACAAACCTCTGATTACCCATTAAGAACATTGAAAACTTGACCGCTATCTCCTCTAATAATTAGTTAGTACATGTGATCACATACGATTTTTCAGTCGTCAGAAAAACTATTTTATTTTTGTAGTTTACTACAAATACTTTTTTTTAAAAAAATACAGTGACTACAAACTTTCGAAATATAGTGACTACTTCACTACTTTAACACTAGAAAGACTGAAACTTAATATATACCTACATTGCCCAAAAGCAGTCAAAATGACTGCATTGTGAAATTGATTAATTTTTTTATATTATTTGCAGTTATATAAAGCAAGCTATTAGTAAATATTAACAATAAAAATAATCATATGTTGTACAAAAAGTCCCAAAATTCTAAGAAATTGTGTCATTATAGACATCATTGTTTTTCTAATTGAAATTAAAAAGCAGTCAAAATTACTTCCTTGGGAAATCTAGTGTTAAGTAATCGAACTTTGCTGGAGAAATAAATTTACACATTTGCTCAAAACGGTTTTGATTAAAAAAATTCGCTTAAATTAAGCAAGACTTTTTTTTTTTATACAAATTTTTATTCATGATATGTTTACATGAGACAATTTGTTATTCCAAAACATTTTTTTTTCGAATTTGTTCATTTAACATTCAACTTTTCATACCTCTTACTACAGCAAATATTTAATTTAAGAAATGCGCAATTATCCAAACACTTGCAATTTTTTCATAATTAATTGTTTAACGCTCTTTTTTAATTCCTCTAAGAAATTAAGTACATCGAAATACGTTGCCTTCTTTTTAAATAACATCAATGTGCATTCGCAAGTGAAAGTATGACCGAGGTGATTAATTATCTATTTTTCGTAATGATTAAGTTTAAACATAATTTAGACACGATTCTAGATCCCGGTAACGTCCCAGTCACAGGGTCATTTTCCATTGAAGGATCCGCGAAAATTTGCACTCATAAAATTCGCAAAAACTAATTGTGTTAGTTAGAACCGTTTCTCCTTACTAACTTAACGTTAAAAGTACAAACAACTGTAATGGATCGCTGAACTAAGTTTTCATTCCAAGCAAAACTAGAAAAGCCGTAGCAAATTAAAACTTATAAATAAGGGCAGATATGAGCAAACTTGAGGAAAACCATATAATTTACAATTCTCCACGTAATTTTTAATTTTCAACAAAATGTCTTCATTACTAAATAAACAAGCGCTGACTGCTGTTTTTCGGCCCATGCTGCAACATCACCGTGGCACAATGCGCACCAATGTTTCAAATCTTCGATCGTGAACTCTGATTACGTATTCAGAAATATTCCAGGAATGAGTGATCTACTATTTATAAAACTCGTATATGCTACACACTATGCAAAGAGAGAGTTTAATCCTGGACTTAGGAGGAATGTTAAGCTGTATCTAGATGTAACCACAGCTGTGGTGCTTAGGCGATTTAGATAAAATCTTTAAATCTTGAGGTAGGTACTTTGTTTACGTCGCGCTAGAGCTGCACAATGGGCTATTCGTGACGGTCTGGGAAACGTCCCTGAGGATGATCCGAAGACATGTCATCGCAATTTTGACCTCGCATCCTCGGTCCATACGCAGGCTGATCAAAGAGGTCACCCACCCGCTTACTCCCCAATCAGCAAAATAACTTGGACCCTCATTGGACCAATGTTCATGAATCTTGGCTCAGTAAGATTATTTTATTCCGATATTGGCCCTATATAGAATTTTCCGAGTCATCCGATATTTTACAGCCACTTAACAACCAAATATTGTTCCCATATAGAATTCTCAGGTTTACCCGATATTTTGCATCCATTATTTAACCAATGTAGGTTCTATATTGGCCAATTCAGGCTCTAAATAGAATATTCTAGGACCAATATTAAAAAATCTAGACCAGGGGTCTGTCCAGATATTTTGTGAAAGGTCCGTTTTTGTAAAATTGTGAAAAAATTAATCGTAATTTGTGAATATAAAATAAACGTTAAGTCACATTCTTTCAACCAGGGTCCTGCTTTTGTGAATTTGTGCGAATAGGGTCCTGTTATTGCAAAAAAACTTTTTCAAGGAGTTTTTAAATTGTAAATAGATACAAGATTATGCTCAACACTGTAAAGTTATGATTAAAAAAGTTAAATTTTAAAAAATAAACAACAATTGCTGCTTCTAAATTAGAGATGCAACAGACAAATATTTGGTATTTAGCCTATACTGCTGAACGCAGAATATTTCGGACGGGAAGAACCGTCTGCGAAAGACAAAACTTAGTTTTTTATATCCATCTTTCTTGTTTTCTGCCCTGGAAAGGGTTTATTCGATTAACAAAACAATAATGAAGATAAAAAAATTTGTGAAGGGTCCGATTAAAAGAAAAATCATTTTGTAAAGGGTCCATTTTTATGAAAAGATATTTTGTGAAGGGTCCGTTCAAATTTTTTCTAAACAGACCCATGTAGACATACCAATATTGGTCCCTCGGTGCATGTTCTTATAGAACTCATATCGAGTCAATTTTTGAACCCAACTAGGGCCAAGTTGAAATAGTTGTTAGGGTGACCGCAGCCGGTGATGCTTGACTTCGGTCTACTATTCGTGTCTTTACGAACAGCCCACTGAAAACAGCAAAGAAAAATTTTTTTAATTCAATCATTTCTTTTTTAAAAATTGAGTGTTTTTCTGTTATTTTCCAAGTCATCCGCATAATTTGTGAGACATCAATGTAAGTCTGAAGATGTGTGCCAAAAACAGGTTCCGTAAAAGGCAAGAGAACATATTTGAATGACACGACCTTCGAATTATGGAAGTGACTGACATTTAGACACCAAAAGATAAGATTTGCAGAAAAATGTTCCCCGAAACGTTCAAAAGTCTAAATCCGGTTTGCGTAACAGCTTTCGGTAATACTACTTTAAATTCTAATAAAGAAAATAACAAAAAATTAATGATGATGATCATGATAATTTTAGTTTCCTATTTCTTTTCTCCCAAGTTTGCTTATGTAAACTGAATTAGGGATAAGACAATGCAAATAGTGTAGTGTTACAGCTTATTTGTGAACACGCAGTAATTGTAAGTGTAGTTAGTACTGTACAGTGTGTATACAATGCAAATAGTGTAGTTGTCGATATAATAATATTAATCACAATGCGAGGCCTAATGCGGACAAATAATAGGTTCTTAAATCATGAGCCATTTTCGAAAGCGTAGAAGAACTATAATTTTCTAAGTCGACAGTTGTAAGAATAGTAGCTGTTGCCTGCACGGTAATACTTAGATTTCAATTTTAACAATGGAAGAATTCTCTCTCGCTCAATGCATCGAAAAATATGTTACGATATCGATTCGGTATCCTATATTCGGTTTAAAATCTGTTCGGTAGCAATGAAATCACACAAGACATTTCATTTTATTTTATAACCATCGTTGAACAGCCGACCTAATTTTAAGGGTTTACGACTACTAATGTTCAACTCCGTAGCCTTGTCATTTTGAACCCAATCCAGAAGACAAGGAAACTCCAGGATCAACTATTGGGAGAAATTTGCCTTCGTGGAGGGCTTTTTGATGGAACTAACCCGCATTTGCGTTACATGGAGAGGAAGACCCATTGACACTACTTAAATTACTACTTAAGACAACCTAACAAAATGAATCNAACCCAATCCAGAAGACAAGGGAACTCCTGGATCGACTATTGGGAGAAATTTGCCTTCGTGGAGGACTTTTTGATGGAACTAACCCGCATTTGCGTTACATGGAGAGGAAGACCCATTGAACGCTACTTAAATTACTACTTAAGACGAACGCTACTTAAATTACTACTTAAGACAACCTAACGAAATGAATCGAAAAGAATACTTATAACGACTTACTAATTATTTAACATAATTTAAAATATTCCTTAAGCCAACATAACAAGGCAAAATGAATTAATATAGAATACACGCACACTGCGGAAAAAAAAACTAGCGATCGGGAAAACTAGAAAGGATAATTAGCTAGCGATCGGACGAAGTAGAAAGGATAATTAGCTAGCGATCGGACAAAGTAGAAAAGATAATTAGCTAGCGATCGGACAAAGTAGAAAGGATAATTAGCTAGCGATCGGACAAACAAGAAAGGATAATTAGCTAGCGATCGGACAAACAAGAAAGGATAATTAGCTAGAGATCGGACAAACTAGTAAGGATAATTATCTAAGGATCGGACAAACTAGTAAGGACAATTAGCCTTGAACGAGTTGGATGCACAACAGCGAAGTTAAATATTAGCTCAAATTAACAACAACAGTATTAGCTTATATATAGTTAGTCTAAGCTAAGAACTCCTCCCCCGCCACAAAGTCTGAGGTCAGACGACCTCAGACTGGTGCCATGGAAACAAGAATGGAGCATTTTATATAGGGTAGCTTCACTCTATGACTGCACAATAGACCTAAGAGATTCTCGCCGACCCGAGCCGAAACCACTCCAAAATAGTGATCCCTCACACCTACTTGAAATAGTCATACCTAGTTGCCATAGTCACGGCCACAGGTTCAGACGAATGTCTGGGGGAGTTCTTATTTTAGACGAACTATATGTCATAGCTCAGGCGTGCATAAATGATGTGAACACGATTTGCATTTCGACAAAAACAATACGTTGTTCAAGACAAGAGAGAGAGAGAAAAAAAAACTTACCGTTGGGTAGCATGATTGACTAGGATTAATGAAATCCAATCCCCTCTGTCCATTTCCATTGAAACAGTGCTGGATGTTTTGGGTGAACTTTCTGTGCACGGCTGACAGTGCGTAGACGCACAGAGCGGAATTGGGACTGGGCTTGTTGTAGATGTCCGCCTCATCTTTGGATTTGGCAAAAACGGCGAAGAGGACATTATCCTGAGCGGATATGCCCAGCGACTTGGCGAGCTCGGATCCCGGTCTGCCGACGTAGGCGGCTTGAGCGAGGTTGTAGTCCGTACCGTCTGTACGGCAGACGAGTGGCACTTCCGTATAAGAGTAGTACTGAACGTCCCTCTGGCAGACCCGCACCAGCTTCGATATGAAGGGTTTGGGTGGATCTGTGGAGAGCTTCTGGACTGTGACGAAATAGGAGAAGCCTTTGCTGCTGAAGCCGTAGACGTAGGTTATAGGGTAGATCTCCCGCGACATGCTGTTCAGCATGATTTTCGTGCCCGTGGTCACGCCACTGTGGGCGATCACGAACATGTTGCTGGGATCTAGACTTCTGCTACTTACGGCAGGCACGTCAGATCGATATGGCCCGTTGCCCGTGTACGACACCCCAACATAGAGGACGTGGGTCCGCGGTAGATTCTTTGGTCCCGGAGCTATGAAAGCGACAGTAGAAGCGGTGGCGTTGTTGGCCACGACCGACTCACTGGCCGGTGTCTCGAAACTGGACACGTCGTTCAAGTCGTGGACAGTACAAGTTCCTTGGAAGAGACTACCGCACGCGATCAGCTTGCTCTGGGAGTAGTCGACCACCAAAGCCTTGTTGTAGTAGTCCGTCTGTCTCTTCGCCTCGTTTGGGCACACACGTGTAACAGGGCATTTCGGGCTGTCCTCCTGGGGTCCCATGATGGCCTCCGCCTCCTTTTTCAGGTCCCTAGATAGTTGGAAGATTCGATTCACACCGCCTATGTAAACTCTCTCTGTGTAATCGTGCACCGTCATGTGATTGAACCTCTCTATCTCGGGATCTTCGAAGAAGGGATAGTGCAGATCTTCGCCCCGCAGGCAGCAGAAAAAAGCGATGAACGGGAGCAGCACCCATCGCTTCTGCCGCTTTTTCATGGCGGCGGCAATTAACAACTCTTGGACACCTCAGTTTACCTGAAAAATAAAAATCTGCTTAGTCAACTAAATATGGAAAAAAATTTATATCCAACAATATCTACTGAACTTAATTGCTTTAACATTAATGAAGGATTTCTTCCATGAAGGGTATTTGAACTTTATGGGGGTATTTAAATTTTTCACCTCATTATAGATAATAAGAAAATTGATTAGAACCTAAAATAGCTATTTAAGTCCCTCCCTTTTCGATGGTCAGATGAAATATCGTTCAGTCCATTTTATTCATTTTCTGATTGTTAACTTTGTCATCTAGCTGCGAAAAATTCATATCCTTACTGACATTCGGGCGGAATTCAACTAAATTTTCGGAATTACGATGACTCAATTAAGCCAATCAGAAGCCTATATCTTTGTAAACATATCGCGTTTTGCGATATGTAAAAATACAGGCTTTTGATTGGCCAAATTTGTCCACCCTAATTGAGAAAATTTAGCTAAATTCCGCCCTAGAAACCCATGGAACATAGATTATGTTCATACGATTGATTAATGAAGAAGCTAACATAAAACTGATGGATACTGATGTTTGTACTGATATTTTGCTTAACAAAAAAAAAAAGTTCATTAAAGAAGAAAACACAAAATAAACTTTCCATTCGATTTATGGGCACCCTCTGATGTGGGGGCTAAATGCAACAGCCCCGTATGCCCCTGCCCTAGTCAGGCTACACCGCCAACAAATGGTCATAATTTAATAAAGCTACCCGTTTTTAAATGGCATGTAGAGAAACCAGTAAAACATCCATCTGAGGCCCCCAAAAATATATTAACGAGACAGTTCAAATGCTAAGCTTAAAATAAGAAAAATTGTGAAGAGTTTAATAGGGAAATTAAATGTCTTAATCCTAAGTTTAGGCCTGATGTTCAATCAACTGAAATTGAAGTGATATTTGGAAAAGATGAAATCATTGGATTATGTAAAAGATTTAATAAAAGAACTGTTTCAGAATTTTTAAGACTGCAGGTATGTTTATAATGTCTACACCTATGTATAGCGCAGATGATTATTTTTTACAGTAAAACTTTATTTGTATTCCTTCCCTTAACGTGCTTAATTCAGCATTCACATAATTTATACTTAGCTGGTATAGGTTACTGGCCACTTATTTCAAACATTGAACAAAATAATAACAATGGTGGAACTTTTCTTTTGAAACAAGGTTCATTTTTGAAGTGGAGAAACATTTTACGAAACCGGAGTGAAATAATATAATTCTACAGGGTATTAAATTTTTTTAATTTCAATTTGTTACTGAGTGCGTAGCCAAATCTCTCAACAATAAACAATCACCATTAAAGTACTTTTTAAGCACTGCATACATTAACAAAATGCTAAATAATTTTCAAAGACTTTACATGATCGTGATAAAATAAATAGTTTTTGACAATGAACTCTTTTCTTGATTATATTAGTCACCATAAAAAGATCAAGAGATATTTTTCGGTTCGATTTCAGAGGGTGGAAAATGAAGCCTGAAATGGAGAACATCTTGTAAAATGCAGCAGAGTTGCACGTGTGAGAGTGCAAGAATTTAACCGAACCCAGCTCAGTAGACGCACATGCGGTCTCGCAAGTATTTCATCAAACATGTAAAATGATTGGAGCTTTCATACGCTATGGACCGACGGTACGTCGAAATGGATTGTGCTTGAGTGAATGTGAAAACGTTCAATAAGAACAATGTGAAAACCACGATTTTGCATAATACTCGGTTAAAATCGACATGGTAAAGAAAAATTAATCTCATTTTCGAAAAAGGAAACATAAGCACTTTTTAAAAACACCCCACGAAAAAAAGCACCTTTAAAAAATGGAAAACGAGCACCTTTAAGCACTTTTTAAAAACTGTACGAGGGAGACATCTTAACAAGCGTCATTGAAGTTCACGGAGAGTAAGAATGGATAGATTATCCAAATATTTTTTTAACTTCACACAGGGTTCGTTGCCAGATTTTTCAACAAAAAAAAGCACCTTTTAAGCACTCAAAAAATATTTTTAATCACTTTCCAAGAAAAAAAAATCATAATTAGGATCTGCGCAGTGAATTTTTTTTTTTTTTAATCGTTTAACGTTCTTAATTTATAAACACAAAGTATTTTTTAAAAACTTGACTTAATGATGATAAGAATAAACATTTTCTGATAAATATTGCAGAGAAAATTGTGAAAATCATGCATTTCCTGTAATTTAGACGTTGATACGTTATTATAATACGTTATCATGAATTAATCATACGTTAAGGACCGACTGCAAGCCGAAATGGATTGTGGTTGAAGGAATGTGAATGAACAACGTGAAAACCACGATTTTGCATACACAGTGAAAAACGACAGGGTAAAGAAAAATAATATCTTATTCGAAAAGGGAAAATTAAGCACTTTTTAAAAACACCCCATGAAAAAAAAGCACCCTTAAGGGATTTAAAAAACGAAAATCGAAAATGAGCACCTTTACTTTTATCGTACTTTTTAAAAACGCTACGTACCACATTATATTGAGTCGCTTTTTGTTCAATAAACGCACATTATACACACACAAACATATGTATATATATTTGCACACCATACAACAATGCTAGTTTTCACAGGTTATCCTTGCTGTATTAAAGCAATGGAGAGAAAGGATCTTCTACAAAACAAACTCTAACCAAGTCTCTCGGCAGTCGAAGTGTGGAGCGACATTTCTTTTTCTAACTATGTGACAATGGCTGCAGGTCGACTTAAAAGTGTAGCAGCAATTTGTAAAGATTGTTGAAAAGCTCTGTTGCGTGCAGTGAACAAACATGCATATTTCATGAAGACGGAGAATGAATTTTGAATACACGAAAATTCCCTTTTCCGACCTTCCATCAAAGAGCTCGTTCCTCCTGACATCTTGCTGCAACACGCCACTTGAAATCAATGCCGATAGTAGTTAGAATAGGATATTCAAGCTAATCATTTACATTCACTTGATATATGAATTCGTTTTATATAAGTATTTGGCTGTCTTTCCCCCTAAGAGTTTATTGGGTGACAGAAAGGTTTGGTAACAGAACAGACGGATATTTATTTTTATATTTTATAACCGCCACTGAACAGACGATCCAATTTTTTGCGTTTACGGCTACTAATAATCAACTCCGTAGCCTTGTCATTTTGAAACCAATCCAGAAGACAAGAGAACTCCTGGATCAAGTATTTTATTTTATAACCGTTGTTCAACAACCGACCCAATTTTTTGTGCTTACGGCTACTAATAATCAACTCCGTAGACTTGTAATTTTGAACCCAATCCAGAAGACAAGAGAACTCCTGAATCAAGTATTGGGTTAAATTTGCCCTCGTGGTGGATTTTTTGATGGAATTCACCCGCATTTGCGATACATGGAGAGGCAGACCACGAGAACCTCCCACGGTTAGCCTATCGGCCTGGGGACTAACCCATGATCCGTTTACCACTAAGGATATTTCACTTCAGCACTTTGGTCGGTGCAAGCCGGACGCGGAATTCGTATCGAACAGTCATCGCCGGCATCGAACCCGGTTCACCTCATTGGAAAGCGAACGCTCTATCCCCGTAGCCACCATGGTTCTCAACTTTTTTATAACCGTCGCCCTATCTTCCCCACTCAACCCAGTGCCCTACCAACCAGGCTATTCCGGCCCTGGATCAAGTATTGGGAAAAATTTACCTTCGCGGAGGACTTTTTGATACAACAAACCCGCATTTGCGTTACATGGGAGAGAAAAACCTCCCATGGTTAACCTGACGTCAAGGGAGGGGACTCTAACCCAATATCCGTCTACCACCGAGGAAATTTTACGTCAGCACTGTGGTCGTATCGACCAGCCATCGGTGGGACGCGAACCTCATTGGAAGGCGAGCGCTTCATCCTCCGAACCATCACGGCTCAGACGGATATTATGTGCTTCTTTAAAGAGGACTTACAAATTAAAACTTTGTTTATTTAGAGAGTGACGATCTCTGATTGGCTGACAGCCAATATTTACTGAAAAGTAAAGAAACAAAAACTTCTCTAAACAGTTACTAAGCATCGTCGAGATATCTTTATTCAGCGAACTATTGGAAATATAGGTCGGTATTCTTTTTTCCTAATTTTAGGGTTTACGGGGTTCCATGTTGTACCATCACCTGTGGTCCACCTGTTGTACCAGCCGTAAGCAAAAGGCTAAGTATTCCACTTCGCACTGAAATGAACTAGAAGGTTCCAAAACCATCATAACGGAGAGAGTAAAAGTGCGGAGAGAGGGAAAATCGTGCAACATTGAGGCATCGATTCTACTTACAAAGAGTGCAGTGATATAAAGCGCGTTTATGAAAATAAAACTCATTATAAGCAGGAGCCATTCCGGACTTATTATGAAAGTACCTGTTTCTGCAATTTTATCGAAAAATTAAGATTGTTTTTTGTGGAAAGGATTTCGTTTTAAGTATTCAATTTTAAAAATGAAACAAATTGTGGAGTTTCAATAAAATAATTCGTGACTGGAAATTGGTCATTTTTTATGGGTATTTGAGAGTGGTTCGCTTTTATGGCAAAATAATTTGGGAAGGGTCCGTTCTTAGGACAAAATAATTCGTTGATGGTTCACAAACAGAGCCGATTTCCCCAGAATACACCCCTGTAAATGCGTAACTAAAATTGCACAAAATAAAATAATAAATAAATTCAATAATATAGACAGAAAATGTCTTATTTCATGAAAAGCTTTTACACCATCTCTAAAATCTATTTACAGCCGAGTGATTTTAAAAGGCGTATAATCTCATTTGAAGTATAGAAGGGAGGGCTAATCCTGGAGGCGCCTATAATCTTCATCCGGTCTAAATTTCCTCCCACGCACACACCCCCTTTTAAAAGTAGAGGGGAGGGGGGGGGATGGAAACTCCTAATGGAAACAAAGCTTGGGTAATCTGGGAAAAAAGGGGATCCGAAGACCACCTGTTGAGGCTTAGAAAACAGGAAAAACT